ACAGAAAGACAAAACAGAACCAGTTTAAATCAGCTGTACCCAGCTTCCCAGAAGGAATAACCCAAACATCAGGAACCTTCTGCTTGCTTCTTTCACATAGAGAAGCTTCCAGAACCCTCTTGAATTAAGTAGAATAGGGGGGAAATCTCTACACATCAGATCAATACTTTCTGCACTAAGAAATGCAAACTGACACAGTTAAGCTGAGGTGTGTACATTTGTGACATCTGTGGTAATGCACATAAGGTGAAGACATCCTTGTCCCCTCTGATGTGTACAGCAACATAAAAATGTTATTTGTTGTTTTTTTTAAAAATGATATTTATTAAGGTTTCAAAGAAAAAAATTACATAAAGAAAAAGAAAAGAAAAAAGACAGAAATAAGAATAAAAAAGAAATACAAAATACAGAAAAAAGATAAAAAAACACTTAAAAAAACACATCAATCTTTCCACCTTACATTCATTTCCTTGCTTCCCTGACCTCCTCACACCTCCCTTTTTTGTATTCCAATTCAGTTAGTTAATTCAGCAATTTCTTTCCCTCTTTGTTTTTATCTTAATCCTTTAACTTAACTTTGGATTCTCACCTGTTAATAATCCGTTTTTACATACACCTTTATAACATTGCTGCTTAAACCACTTAACTTCATTCTGACATCATTCTAACATTCATTAATTTTGCAATATTTCTGTAAATAGTCTTTAAATTTCTTCCAATCTTCTTCCACCGACTCTTCTCCCTGGTCTTGGATTCTGCCAGTCATTTCCGCCAATTCCATGTAGTCCATCACCTTCATCTGCTATTCTTCCAGAGTGGGTAGATCTTGTGTCTTCCAATACTTTGCAATAAGTATTCTTGCTGCAGTTGTGGCATACATAAAGAAAGTTCTGTCCTTCTTTGGCACCATTTGGCCGACTATGCCCAGGAGGAAGGCCTCTGGTTTCTTCAGGAAGGTATATTTAAATACCTTTTTCAATTCATTATAGATCATCTCCCAGAAAGCCTTAATCCTTGGGCACGTCCACCAAAGGTGAAAGAATGTACCTTCAGTTTCTTTACATTTCCAACATTTATTATCGGGCAAATGATAGATTTTTGCAAGCTTGACTGGTGTCATGTACCACCTGTATATCATTTTCATAATATTCTCTCTTAAGGCATTACATGCCGTAAACTTCATACCTGTGGTCCATAACTGTTCGCAGTCAGCCATCATTATGTTATGTCCAACATCTTGTGCCCATTTAATCATAGCAGATTTCACCGTTTCATCCTGTGTATTCCATTTCAACAGCAAGTTATACATCTTTGACAAAATCTTAGTTTTGGGTTCTAGCAGTTCTGTTTCTAATTTTGATTTTTCCACCTGGAAGCCAATTTTCTTATCCAAATTGTATGCCTCCATTATCTGATAATAATGAAGCCAGTCTCGCACTTTGCTTTTTAATTTCTCAAAACTCTGCAATTTCAGTCTATCTCCCTCTTGTTCCAAAATTTCCCAATATTTCGGCCATTTGACCTCCATATTGAGCTTCTTCTGAGCTTTCGCTTCCATCGGTGACAGCCACCTTGGGGTTTTGTTTTCCAGTAGGTCCTTATATCTTATCCATACAGTGGTGCCTCGCAAGACGAAATTAATCCGTTCCGCGAGAGTCTTCGTCTAGCGGTTTTTTCGTCTTGCGAAGCAACCCTATTAGCGGCTTAACGGATTAGCGCTATTAGCGGTTTAGCGGCTATTAAAGGCTTAAAGGCTTAGCGGATTAGCTGCTAAAAGGCTATTAAAGGCTATAAAAGGCTTAGCGGATTAGATAAAGGGGGGGGGAAGCGAAAAAAAAATCTCAAGACTCGCAAGACATTTTCATCTTGCGAAGCAAGCCCATAGGGAAATTCGTCCTGCGAAGCAACTCAAAAACGGAAAACCCTTTCGTCTAGCGGGTTTTCCGTCTTGCGAGGCATTCGTCTTGCGGGGCACCACTGTACATTAAACAATGCTTTCCTGACAATATGGTTTTTAAATGCTTTATGTGCTTTGACCTTATCATACCACAAATATGCATGCCATCCAAATACATTATTAAAACCTTCTAAATCCAAAATGTCTGTGTTTTCAAGAAGCAGCCATTCTTTCAACCAGCAAAAAGCTGCTGATTCATAATAAAGTTTAAGGTCTGGCAGGGCAAATCCACCTCTTTCCTTTGCATCCGTTAGTATTTTAAATTTTATTCTAGGCTTCTTGCCCTGCCAGACAAATCTAGAGGTATCTCTCTGCCACTTCTTGAAACAGTCCATTTTGTCCAAAATTTGCAGTGTTTGAAACAGAAACAACATTCTAGGCAATACATTCATTTTTATCGCAGCAATACGGCCTAGCAGTGAAAGCTTCAAATTTGACCAAATTTCTAAGTCTTTTTTCACTTCAGCCCAGCATTTTTCGTAATTGTCTTTGAATAGATTCCCATTTTTTGGCTGTCATGTTAATCCCCGGGTATTTCACTTTCTTAACCACTGTTAAACCTGTCTCATTCTGAAACCTCTCTCTCTCAATCGGTGTTAAATTTTTCTCTAAGACCTTTGTTTTTAACTTATTCAGTTTAAATCCTGCAACCTGATCAAATTCTTGAATAAGTTCCAAAACCCTTTTAGTACTAGATTCTGGCTCCTGTAATGTCAATACTAAGTCATCTGCAAATGCTCTCAATTTGTACTGTTTAGCTCCGACTTGTATACCTTTAACCAATTGGTCCCTTCTAATCATATTCAGCAGGACCTCCAGGACCGATATGAAAAGCAATGGGGAGATTGGGCAGCCTTGTCGTGTCCCTTTTCCTATCTTGAATTCTTCCGTCACCACGTTATTTACAATTAATTTAGCCTTTTGTTCTGAATAAATTGCACTTATACCGTTTTCAAAGCCTTGGCCTACCCCCATCCCCTGTAGGTTCTTCTTCATAAAACTCCAAGAAATGTTGTCAAAGGCTTTCTCCGCGTCCACAAATATCAAGACTGCCTTAGTATTTATGTTCACTTGTAATTTTTCTAAAATATTGATTATATTTCTCACATTATCTGACAAATGTCTACCCGGGAGGAAGCCTGCTTGGTCTCATAAAAATGTTACTTGAAACGCAGCACAGGGAAAGTACTACACCTTGCTGCATTTTAAGCCACTGGTGTGTACATAGCCCAAGTTCCCCAAAAAACCTCTCAGATATTCATATCCGTGAACCTTAGGTGATCCCTTTTATTTCTATATCATTTTTGCATACCTGCCTACATGACTCGTGGCAATGCAATTAAGCAGTTTCTTTAACCTGGGCAGGATCTGTTTTCATTAAGAACTTTACATTTTCATTTCCTGAATGCCGTGTCAGAGCAGATGATTCAGAAGCCACTCCTGCCCTCGGGATAGAAAGAAAAATATTTGCATATAGCATAGCAGTGAAGTCAGACCTATAATCATGCTGCCATTATGACAATGGCAGATTGGGTCCAAGGAAGCAGTGCTTCTTTTCATGGCCTTGATCCAGAACAGAGAACTGACTCATTTCAGTCACAAAGAGAGATTCTAAAGAAGCACCAAGGAATCCAAGCATGGTTATGTCTAGGACCCATCTTTGCTGAGAAGTGTGATCAAACACAAAGGAGAGCAGGGCTCCTATACCTTGACCAGTTGTGTCGTGTTGGACATTTCGGCAGGCACAACTCATCATGCAGATGTGATAAACAGCGGCATCAGCTGAAATTGCTCTATATAATGAAATTGATGAAGAACATCACCTTCCTTTGTTCTTTTCTGATCACCCGATTGCAGCTTTCACGAACTTGGTGCCCTCCAGACTACAACTCCCATTAGCCAGGGAAGAAGGCATCCTTCCAAATTTTCTGGTTCCACAAAAGCTTTAGGCAAAATTGCTAGCGTGATCTTTACAGTGAATTGGAGACCACAAGTTTTGAAAAATACATTGTAAGCAAGGAGTAATCATAACCAAAGGGCAACATATAACAAAACCACATGATTGTTTAGACTACACAAGCCCACAATCTAAGACTAAACTTTAAACAGCTGCCAGATACTATGTAGTTCAGGGTTTTAGTATCTAAGTTTACAAGTATAGCTTTACCCACTTGTGAAGAACTATGAGAAACTGGGGGAAATTGCATCAGTCAAAATTGATGTCAGTAAAATATTATATGCATATGAGTTCTGGCCTATTTGGAATCTGGTACAGCTGCCAACTTTCCAAACAACCATGGGAGTTGTGCCTTTAACAGCAGTTATGTAGACAATAACAGACATTAACACAGGGATAGGGACTTGTGGCCTTCCAGATGATGTTGGGACTACAATTCTTATCATCGCTGACTATTAGCCATGCTGATTGGGACTCTTAAGAGTCCAACAACACAGGTTCCTTATCTCTCCCACAGTTTAGTTCAGTATTTTTTTTGGACAGTCTAGACGCCTGTTGTGGGACAACTAATAAATCTTTGAGATGGGTCATGGGGAAACTGAATTAGACTGGACCAGAATACTATGAAGTTAGTACTAAATACTAGGAATCCTTAATTTTGCTGCTCCCGCTTCATCCATTAGGTGCCTCCCATGGTTCCTATAATGCTATTTGAAACCTCCAGGTATAGGGCGGTATATAAATTGAAACAACAACAACCTGCTCACCTAAATTCACAATCACCCTTTTTAGAAGGTCAAACTGTGTAGATGAGTAGCAGAGGGTCGACAGTGTGCACAGTCTATGCCCTACAAGAGCTCACTTGAACGTTGTAATAACAGACAATACAACTGCAGGCTCTCACATAGACAAGTATGGTGTCTCACTGAGGATGAATGTCTGAAAGTGTCTATTGTCTCTCTTTAACTCTGCTATCTCCTTACTAAGGCATTGCAGTGGGGATGTCCTCACTGTTGTTGTCCAATGGGCTGATAAAGGTTTGTTATTAACTTCCAATCGGAACAAATCCTCTGTTTTCAATTGTTGTGCCTTTTAGGAGGAAATCGAAAGTGATGATACAAACAAAAAGAATGATATAGCAATGAGACACAGGAACATGGAAAAAGGCAACCCCCTCCATCCTAACCAGGTAAGAACTACTTATTTCACCCACTTGCTACAAGCACTTCTGAATCTGAATACCAACCAAGCTAAGGGCCAAGGTACACTTCTTGTTATAGCAGACTTCCTCAATGTGGTTTCTTCCAGATGTTGTTGGACTCCAACGTTCATCAGCCCCAGTCAGCATGGCCAACAGACAGGGTTGATAGGAGTCTTAATCCAGCAGTGGCAGAATTTGGGCTTTCAGATTTCAGTGGTGACCTGTGCAACACCAAAATCCGATGTTCCCCCTCCTCTCACATCTCATTCTCAGTTATTGTTGCAGTGTCCCCTGCGACAGCCTCATGGCTTGGCCCCCAGTGCAGGTGAACCAGTTGCACACACACCCCAAATCTGCCTCCGAGTTCAGCAACATCTGGAGGACACCAGGCTGGGGAAAGCTGTGTTTAAAAATCTGGATTTTTAAAAAAATGGGTGGGGCCAGGAGGAGTTTACCCATTTCCACCTGCCCCACAGTCCTGACAACACTCACACACAACTTCCATCTTGCAATTGCTGTTGGGGGGGAAATTTTCATTTGGACCATGGTACAAGGGGAACGTCTTCCTGTGATCATGATTCTGATCCCCTGCTGCTTTCTCTTCCTTTTTAAAATAACACTTTTTTTTAAATAATATTTATTACTTTTCCAACAATTTAAACACTACAAAAAAAAGAAATAAACAATACAATACAATACAATACAAAAGCAATACCTTACACTAACACATTAAACTAACAAAACAAAACAAAAACAGTTTAAAACACATCAAACAGTTTCAATATCTTATCTTTCATTCACTTGTTTCCATGACCTCCTCACACCTCCCTTTTTGTTTTCCACTTCTATTAATTGTTTCAGCAATTCCTTTCCATCTTCCTCTGCTTTCTATCCTTTAATTATCTTAACACATTCTAACCTTATTTTCCCCTTTAATACTCTATTAATCTATTTATACTTAATTCCTTATAACATTTCTACTAAAGCCATATAACTTCATTCCAACATTTTCCTAACATTCATTAATTTTACAGTATTTCTGTAAATAGTCTTTAAACTTTTTCTAGTCTTCTTCCACCAACTCCTCTCCCTGGTCTCGGATTCTGCCAGTCATTTCTGCCAGTTCCATGTAGTCCATCAACTTCATCTGCCATTCTTCCCGGGTGGGTAAATCTTGTGTCTTCCAATACTTCGCGATGAGTATTCTTGCTGCTGTTGTTGCATGCATAAAAAAAATTCTATCCTTCTTTGACACCAATTGGCCAACCATGCCCAGGAGAAAGGCCTCTGGTTTCTTCAGAAAGGTATATTTAAATACCTTTTTCATTTCGTTATAGATCATCTCCCAGAATGTCTTAATCTTTGGGCATGTCCACTAAAGGTGAAATAATGTACCTTCAGTCTCATTACATTTCCAACATTTATTGTCGGGCAAATGATAAATTTTTGCAAACTTGACTGGTGTCATGTACCACCTATAAATCATTTTCATTAAATTTTCTCTTAGGGCATTACATGCCGTAAATTTCATACCTGTGGTCCATAACTGTTCCCAGTCAGCCATCATTATGTTATGTCCAACATCTTGTGCCCCCTTTTTAAAATAACACTTAAAGGTGATGGTGTTTTTAATATAACAGCCCTAAACCCACAATCCTATGCAGTGTTAGGCTAGCTTAAGGTCATATATGTCAGCAGAGGTAGATGCCTGGGACTGGGCTGCAGGAAAGAATGGAAGAGAATTTCATTTGTTTGCGTGTTCAGACCCAGAAACCTCCCCCCTAAATAAATTCACACATGACTCAAAATTTTGGTTTGGTTTTTGGCAGAAGTTAGGCCACAACTTTATTGTTTACATCAGGTTACTGGTTGAATAGGCTCTGGTTCGACTAGTTCCCTGCCATGCAGGTAGCGCTGACCCAGGGTTCCAGCATAGGTCAGCCAAGGGTGAACACCTGGATAAGAGGAAAACCGGGAACAGGCTATCTCCGCCACCGAAATGTCCCCCTGGACTCAGGCACGGACACAATCCTCTCTCAGGGGTTGACCAAACCATCGAGTCCCTGGATTCCTTTAACGGAACGCCCTTCACATAGGGATGGTGAGAGCGTTCCCCCATCCCTGTCACCTGAACCAGTGCCTATCCGCAACCTTACAAGTTGTGACGATTTGCTACGCGGCAGGCAAAACCCAAATGGCAACAGCCAATCAGCCAAGTGGGGAAAATTCCTGCCGTGCCCCTGTCCCGATGACCGACGACACACGACGGCATAGCAAGGTCAGGTGCAACAAGCTCTAAAAGTAGAGAGAGGTGGGCAGGTGTTCCGAATGCACACGCTGAAAGAGGAAGCTCTGGGTCACATGCATGGGTATATATAGGTCCCTCGAACCATTTGGACTGCGTCCCATTGGCCAGATTGTACTCAGCTTTGAGGGACCTACCAGTCAGGTGTTGTGGCTTACCAAATGTTCCCACCCACAACATAGGGTGTCAGTTGTCCAGGTCTCACCGCAGTACGTGCCCTCTTTAAGGGAGGACCCAATTTTCCATCTGTAAGCAGATAAATCTGATTTTCACCTCTTGGATATGGATTGGATGGTAATTATCCTTCAGACTGTGCACTCAATTTTGCAAGAAACAGTAGCTGAGGATGACATGTTCAGGATTCTTCTCTGCTTCTTCCCACCTCCCCCAACCCATCCAGATTGATACAGACATCAGTATTGAAGGTGACCAGGAAGTGGACAAACATGACTCAGGAGAAAACAAGGACTCTGGGTGCAAAGGGTAAAAAATTCATTCCGAATTTCCCACTACCACTTTCCTCTTCAAGTGAAATGTCACCACATAGATGTGTTCTGTTTGCCAAATCAACATTCAACACCATAATTCCAAAGGTGTCACTGATGTGCAGAAGCCTATTCCAGAGATCATCACTTGACCTTGAACTTAAGCCGAAACTGTTATTGTTTCTTTCCTCTAAGTAACACAGAGGGATGTATACAGGGCTGCCCCATTTTATTCTAACAAAATCTTGGGAGGAAGAGACTTGGAGAGATAACAACTTTCCCAAAGCCAGAACTTCCAGCATTTAAGGCCCCATATTTTATACAGAATGTCAGAGATCAGGGGGTGGGGAAACTCAGGACCAAATGTAGCCCTCCGGGACTTACTTTCTAGTCCTTGGGACTCTCTCCAATCTCCAGACCACAAAACCTCACTGCAGGCTGGAATGTGTCCTTGAACTGTAATAAGGCTTCCTGCCTGTCTGGATAAAAGGCTGAGAATCAGTATGCCAATACGTTTTTGAGTGACTCTACTCTGAAGACAGCACCTTACAAATCTGAGAAATGGGTCCAGAGCTTTGGGTCCAGTCTGCTTCCTTTTGGGCTGCTTCAGGGAAGTCCCGCTTCAGCTTGGAGAAGTAGCCTGCTTCAGTTCAGTATTCCTATTCCCCTGTTTGTCTTCAATTTTGTTTGCTTTCATCCACCCTCTTTTGTCGTTCTAGGTGTTTTGAAAAGAAATACGATTCAGCCTTACACTTTTTCAGGAAACATAAAACCAGAATTCGATATGTTATTTATGGAATACTAATAGCAGGTATTTACTGGACATCACAGAAAATGACAATCTCTTAGTTTTATAGAGAGTTTGGATGTGTGTGTGTCTGTTTGAAGTCCGAAATTAATTACACAAAATGGAATAACCTTATTAGACAGCAAATGAAACTTATTTGATGATTGCATACCATGTGGAATAGTAGTGCTACTTATTATTAGGATCTACAGAGGGAAAGATATGATGTACACTTACATCATCATCATCATCATCATCATCATCATTATTATTACATTTATACCCTACCTTTCTTCCAAGGAGATCAAGGTGGCATACATGGTTCTCCCCCACCCTCAACAACCCTGTGAGGTAGGCTGGGCTAAGGGACTGCAGCTGGCCCAAGGTCACCCGGTGAGTTTCATCACTGAATGAGGATTTGAACCCTGGTCTCCCAGATCCTAGTCCAGAGATAGACCTAGTCCAGAGTCCCATGAGTTCCAGCCAGCGTGGTCAAAGATCAGGAATGAAGAGAGTTGGACTTCAACAACACCTGGAAAGCCACAGGTTCCCCATCTCTGTCCTAGTCCAACACTCTAACCACTGCACCAAATTGGCTTGATGTGATATACATCTTTTCAGTATAGCTCAGTTGGTAGAGCATGAGAATCTTAATCTCAGGATCATGGGTTTGAGCCCCACATTGGGCAAAATATTCCGGCATTGCAGGGGATTGAACTTCTTGATGATCCTTGTGGTCCCTTCCAACTGTACAAATACTTTGATTCTTTGAAATCTCTTTGTAAGATTTCAAGAGACTGCCACCTACTTCTAAACTTACAACAGTGTGACCCTACACATATCTATTCAGCAGTCCTGTTGATGGGATTTGCTCCCAAGTGTGTACAGGATTTCAACCTAAATTATCTAAATTACCCCAAAAGCTCACTGGAAAAACTTGTTGGCTCCCTGAACCTCCCACATTTTGAGAATCATTGTTAGGGCACCTGCTTTGCATGCAGAAGATTCCAGGTTCAATTCATGTTCTCTCTAGTAGGGCTGGGAATGTCTGCTGTCTAAGACGCTGAGACCCATTGCCAGTCTGAGTAGACAATATTGAGCTACAAGGACCAATGGGTCTGACTCAGCAGAGGTCAACCCCCAAATGTTCATGCGTTCAGAAGCACAGTTGGTTTGTAATGATTTTAATTCAACATGAAGCCATACTGGCATTGATATCATGATAGGTAAATGAACTTACCCTATTTTTCGCTCTATAGGACGCACTTTTTCCCCTCCAAAAATGAAGGGGAAATGTGTGTGCATCCTATGGAGCGAATGCAGAGCTTCGCTGAAGCCTGGAGAGCGAGAGGGTCGGTGCGCACCGACCCCTCTCGCTCTCCAGGCTTCAGGAAGCTATCCGCAAGCCTTTGGAGCCCGCGGGAGTTCCCGCCGGGCTCCGAAGGCTTGCGGATAGCAGCTTGCAGCCCGAAGCTGTTCTAGCTTCGGGGTGGCTGCGCAAAGCCTCCGCAGGGCAGCGGGGTGCCTTCACCCCGCTGCCCTGCAGAGGCTACAAAGGATGTCCCTGAAGCCTCAAGCCTTTGGAGTGCAGCTGCACTCCAAAAGCTTCAGGGATCTTTGAGGCTGGCAGTGGAGGACAGCAGCGCTTCCCCCCCACTGCCAGCCCCACAAGCTCGGGGGGCAGCGGCAAGGCTGCACTCAGCCTTTGTGCTGTTCCCCGACCTGCTCTTGAATGCACCTTGTTTTAGAGGGGGAGAACAGGGGGAAATTTTTTTTTCTTATTCTCCCCCTCCTATGGTCCGGTGCGTCCTATGGTCTGGTGCGTCCAATAGAGCGAAAAAAACGGTATGTTTCAGCAATATTGTTTTGTAAACCCCTTTTTGTAATAATTCTCCTGGAGCAAATACATGTTCACACTGTAAGTTGTAAAATGAAGTTATCAAAGCTGGCTGTTCATTCCTACCTTTTGCACTTGGATCAGTAAGGTGGTTCCTCCCACCTTAATCTTTAATGAAAACACAACGAAGAGAGGATTGCAGAAACGCCATGCATTAATCTCACATTACCCCACATGTAGGCACTTGCCTCACAGTGCAAAACAAAGCACACTTTATTTATTTTCATTTTTTACCATGGGAGCTAATATTTAAGGATTCAGTTTCCATGTCTCTAGCTATTTGCATAACACAGGCCTTGGGGCAAATAGTGAGAAATATATGTGAAAAGGCCTCTCTAAATAATTGGTTCCTTTTCATAAGCACTTCTGCTGTTGTCTGAGGGACTTGGGCACTTGTGTGCAAAGGAGAAACACAGACCTTATTTTACTGGTGATCGCAGAGACTTCCTCATTTAAATATACCATGGGAGGAAATGAGCCAATAATGTATCCATTTTACCAAATCATGAAAGTCCCTCAATGGGAGCCAATTCTGTCTTAAATGATCACATTATATTACAGAATAAAGACTGGCTTTGCTAAGTCATGGCTTTTCTTTCATTAGAGCCTCTGCCTCTTCCAAAGCTCTTCCATGAACCTCAAAATAGCTTCCATTCAAATGACTGAACCTACCCTGGACCTACCTGGGACACGGGTGGCACTGTGGGTTAAACCACAGAGCCTAGGACTTGCTGATCAGAAGGTTGGCGGTTCAAATCCCCGTGACGGGGTGAGCTCCCGTTGCTTGGTCCCTGCTCCTGCCAACTAGCAGTTCGAAAGCACATCAAAGTGCAAGTAGATAAATAGGTACCACTCCGGCGGGAAGGTAAACGGCGTTTCCGTGCACTGCTCTGGTTCGCCAGAAGCGGCTTAGTCATGCTGGCCACATGACCCGGAAGCTGTACGCCGGCTCCCTCGGCCAATAAAGCGAGATGAGTGCCGCAACCCCAGAGTCAGCCACAACTGGACCTAATGGTCAGGCATCCCTTTACCTTTACCTTTACCCTGGACCAGAATACAGATTGTGGTCTAACAGGTAGCTGGGCCTGCCCTAGACTGGCCAGGTCTCCTTGAAATACTTCCTGATAGTCTGATAGTCTACAGTTCTTGCATTATCCTCTCCCTTTCACAAGAACAGAGACTGAAGCACTATGAGTGGAATTCAACTAAGTTTTATTCAGAGTAGATGTGGTGTTGTTTTTACTTACCGTATTTTTCGCTCTATAACACGCACCTGACCATAACACGCACATAGTTTTTAGAGGAGGAAAACAAGAAGAAAAAAATTCTAAACGAAACAGTGGATGTATGATTTTTGTGGTTCATGCTGTGGCCACAGACATGTGATTTGACGGTGAGTTTGGGGTAGCCCAATGCAAAAATCCTGAGGATCCATGTGGATCCATGCTTTGTAACCACATTTTTGCACCACTGCGGCCCCAGGCAACAGTGGGTGCGTGATTTTTTTGGTGCAAGCTGTAGCCATGGACATGCTATGTGATCTGATGGTGAATTTGGGGTGACCCAGTGCAAAAATCCTGAGGATCCATGTGGATCCATGCTTTGTAACCACGTTTTAAGTGGCTTGCTTTAAAGGAGCCAACCGGACAGGAGCCGCTTACACTCGTGTAAGCGGCTCCTCTCCTCTCCCACTTTGCTCCTTTAAAGAAGCAGGCTCTCTCTACCTCTCTCCTCCCCACTCAGCGGCTCTTCTCCCGCTTTGCTGTTTTAAAGCGAGCCACGGAGGAGGGAAGGAAGGGGAACCATGGATCCTCTGCTCACGACTGCAGCAGATCCCCCCGCCACCCGCAGGCATTCGCTCCATAACACGCACAGACATTTCCCCTTACTTTCTAGGAGGAAAAAAGTGAGTGTTGTGGTGCAAAAAATACGGTAAATTATAGTAATTATTTCCAAATGTGCATCTATATATATAAATTAGCATGTGAGAATCTTTTGTCCTTTTTAAAATGTACCTTTTGTGTGATATGAAGGTATGTGGTGATGGGAAAATGTTGCACTTGGGGTGGAGCTCTCAACTCTTCTCTGATCAGCAACAGAGAATTTCAAATAGATACACACATATCAACAAGTGTAATGTGAGCAAGTCTTCTTCTAATTTTCTTTGTCAGTGAAGCATGGAAATTTGGCTTAGTTAAACATTAGATGTGATAGTGTGAGTGGTCCTTTCTGCTTTGATGGGTAAGGATGCTTCCACCATCCTCCCTCCTCAATAATAATAATAATAATAATAATTTATTTATACCCTGCCCATCTGGATGGGTTTCCCCAGCCACCCAGGGCAGCTTCCAACAGATTATTAGAAACACAACAAAACATCAAACATAAAAAGCTTCCCTGAACAGGGCTGCCTTCAGATGTCTTCTAAAAGTCAGATACAGTAGCATCTCGGCTTACACGTAAACTTCAGGTTGCGAAAGTGGCAAACCCGGAAGTGTTTCACCTCGTGCGCATGCACAGAAGCACTCTACCATGCTACGCACAAGCGCAGAAGTGGTCTACCGCCACACACGCACATGCGCAGAAGCGGCCCCTCAGGTTGCGGAAACCTAGTGATCCAACTGGAGCTCCAGAAAGGATCCCGTCTGCAACCGGAGGTACCACTGTAGTTGTTTATTTCCTTGACATCTGATGGGAGGGCGTTCCACAGGGAGGGTGCCACTACCGAGAAGGCCCTCTGCCTGGTTCCCTGCAACCTCGCTTCTCGCAGTGAGGGAACCGCCAGAAGGCCCTCAGAGCTGGACCTCACTCTTCCCCGGCATTCCAGCATAGGAAGCTGCCTTAAACCAAGCCAGATGAATTGGGTCCATCTAGCAGCTAGATTCTAGATCAATGTTGCCTACAGTGATTGGCAGGTTCCTCCAGGATTCTTTCCCCAGCCTCAACTAGAGATGTCAGGGATTGAACCTAGAACCTTTTGTGTGCAAAGCAGTTGCTCTTCCACGGAATGCTTCCCCAAGCATATGCTTATCTCAAATGGAAAGGAAAATTGGGTCAATAAGTGCACTGGCTTATGCAAGTAGCACTGTTTGAAGTGCTGTTTTCCAAACAAAGTCTTGGATAATTATAGCAAAGATGTTTGAGGATTTTGTTGGGAGAGGAAACAAGGGAGGACAGGTATTGTATGCAATGGGCATGCCTCATATATGGCATATCTGATTTATGACTATGCTTGTTTCCATGACAGCTTATCTGGCCATGGTAATTGCGGCCTGTATCTTGAATTTTCGCAGAGCTTTGGCCCTTTTTGTACTCACCATCCTGGGCATTTTCTTCATCTGCTGGGACTTTTTGATGGCCAGATATGAGGACAGAATCGCAGAATCGCTTTCCCCTTGTGGAAAGTTTCTGGATACCCAATGGTTTTGGCTGAAATGGTAAATATTGTGGTTTCCTTTCTTTGCAGATGAGTTAGTTGCTCTAGCTAATAATCATCACATAATGTATTCATTGAAATCACACTTTGAAACCACTTTGATTTATTAATTTTTAAAGAGGCAGGGAATATAAATGCAGCTTTATGAACACTGAGGATGGACCTTTAGGTGTTAATTCTTAGTAAATGTTAGTGCCTTCTTAACCCTGCAAAAGTCAAATTCAGTATATATAGCCATAAGATGGGTAGGCAAGAGCTGGCAACATTTGAAGCCACCTCTACCGCTGTCTTTTTTCACAGCAGTTTGATGTGCGGCACTTAGCAGATTTCAGTGTTTAGCTCATTGGTATCGAAAGGTTATCAAAGTCCCCCTCGGAGGGAACCTCTCCTATTCACTCCCACAAGGAGTAGGGATGGCCACCAACTTGAATAGCTTTGAAAGACACATTCATGGACGATAAGACTATCAATGGCTACTAGCCAGGATGATGCCGCCGCCCTCCACTTTCAAAGGCAGTATGCCTCTGAATGACAGCTGCTGGGAATCACAAGTTGGCTGAGGTGCTGCTTTGGGGCAACCCATAGACACCTGGTTGGCCACTGTGAGAACAGGATGCTGGGCTAGATGGGCTTTTGCCTGATCCCGCAGCCTGTTCTCAAGTTCTTGCGTTCTTAGCAAGAGTAAGCCAGACTAGTTTTGCCTTGCTTTTTGGCAGCCGTAA